TGGAAGGAGATCTATCTTTAGAAGATAATACGAAAGGCATTGTACCAAGAAAATACTTCTAAGCAGATCCAGAAAGACTTTTTTAAGGAACCCTCTTAAATTCCAAAAAGAAAAAACTTCCTTCCTAAAGAAAAAAGCCGTATCAATTTAGGCATTTGAACCATTTTCCCTAAACTTCTATAATTTGGTTGTTCGATTTCTTAAAGGATAACAAACCTCTTCAACATTGGTCCATGTTTGGCCCATGGCGCCAATAAAAGGATTTTTTAACTCCCTAGGCTCCTTTTTAAACCGATATTGCTATCGATTAGCATTTTAGATTCTCAATTTTTAATAAAGGTCCACATTTTTTGGCAAAGACTTTCTTCCTATAGAAACCCTGTGGAAAGGTATTGTACCAAGAAAAAACTTCTAAGTAGATTCAGAAAGACTTCTGGACGGTTTTTTTAAAGAACTCCTCTTGAATTCCATAAAGAGAAGACTTCTTTCATATAGAAACCTGCTGGAAAGAGATCTACCTTTGGAAGAACTTCCAAAATTATTGTACATAAAAATAATTCTAAGCTGATTAATAAAGACGTGTCGCCAGTGTCCCTATCCCTATCTAAATAAGACCCCTAGACTTTTTTCTTTAGAAATCATCAGGAAAGTTATTTATCCTTAGAATATCTTCGAAAGGTATTATATCTAGAAAATACTTCTAAGCAAATCAATAAAGACTTCGATGGTATTTTTTCTATAGAAACCACATGGAACTCAAGAAAATCTAAATATGTCCTGTATGAAAACCCTCCGGCAGGTACATACCTTTAGATCGTTATGTCATATCATGAAATACTTCTAGATAGTAAAAAATTTTATAGATGGTCCAATAAGAGATCTCCGAAAATATTTCATCTACTGAGGAGGATTGTAAGTTTTCAATTATAATTCAGGTCATTTATAGGATCTCCGTAGATCGAATGTCTCATATATGCCATGAATCAATTAGAATTTATATAGAATGCGGGGATCTTTTTATTTGTCTTTAACAGGTTTGAGGTAGTTTTTATTGGTGCCTCAATATTCTCTCAAAATTTTATTTTTGATTCGGTTCTGTTTATTGAATTTCTTCTGTAGGTCTTGATTAATTAATACTTACCTTGGACATCAGCTTCATAATTTTTTGCTTGCGAAAACGTAGTGGAGTGCTTCTATGGGTCTACTATGTCTAAAGGGCCTACTTTATATATATATATATATATTGTAAACATAAGACCTCAACTCTTTTAAAACAGATTTTTCCTCCAACAAACCTCTCTGCCCTAATTCTCCCCTCTTGTGGTGGCGTTAAAATTTCTTTTGGTGTCAGATCTTATTTAGATGAAATCATCAACATCGTCGTCTTCTGTGGTGTTTGGTTTTTTTCTTCTTCGTCTAGTTTTATAAATAAACATCAGGTCATAACATTAACAAAATACAATAACAGCAAAAAATTGTATATTAACCACCGTTCTCTTATCAGTGACAGAATGGGTGTGTAGTGGCTGGCAGTGGCGACAGCCTCAAATCGACATCACTCGCCACTCACTCAACTACTAAGAAAATATAAATTCCAAATTATTCCAATTAAAGAAAAATGGAAAAACTAATTCATCTTCTTCCACGATGTTCCATGGCGAAATGATGGAGATGACCACACGCTACTAGTAGTGGTGCGGAAAGTGATTTATTTACCAATATCACTAATTATAAAAATTTAAATGTTTAAAAAATTATAATAGAAATGGGTTGGGTCTCATTAACAAAAAAATAAATCATTAAAAAAAACAACTTCGAATTTTGATGATGATCTGTTGAAGATATATTAATTTGGGGAATATCTTTTCCCATTTGTATCTCCAATTAAAAATTGAACTAAATATAGTACCATATAGTACTTTTCGTACACATGAGTACATGTTTTCAAAACACCTCCAATCCTACTTTTCAATCTTAATTCCCATTTCAAATTTCAAGTTTTTAGCTCTATCCATTCACATGCTACGAAATTGTACAAAATTTAGTACTTTTCGGATACTTATAGTTCGAATGTCCCAAAAACCCTTTGCTATATCTATTCTACACTCCAACAGTGGCCCTCATTTCAAATTTAAGAGTTCTATCTTGCTTTCATACGAATTAACGCTATTCTATTGTATTTCAGAACAGAGTAGGTTCAAATATTTTCATCAAAATATTGCATAAATATTTCTATTTTTTTTAAATAACAAAAAACTAATATAAAACAATGCATATGGTTTTTATTATTAGTCTGCTTGTTTTGTTTATATTTTTCCTCAATTGAAATTTTTAGAAATATTACTTCGTGTGAGATCTCTAGCAGCTTTCCTCCAGTGCAACAATGTAAACATTTTTCGGTTAATTTGGTTGGGAACATTTGGTCAAGCATTACAACATTTTTTTTCGTGTAAAAATGAATGAAATATATTTCCTCAATTTAATGGCCAGACCTCAGTAATCGATGCAGAAGCATATCGAAAAAAACAACACCAATTATAAAACCATAACCATAATTTGTTTACTTGAATAGTAGTGCTGGTGCGGAGTCATTTTATTTGTTGCAAAATATAAAACTGTCGTAATTTATCATTTCCTTAGGGGCCTACAAATATCTGTCTATCTGCCACATCTCCGGTATAAAATAAAGCAAAACACAAATGTTCAGGAATTTTCAGTTTTTTTTTTGCACTTTATTCACACTTCGTTTTTTCCAATTTTTTTTCTATTTCATTTCGTCTCTGCCTTCAAAAACATTCCTCAATTGAGGGCAAAAGTTTTGCATTCTTACAGCGGCCATTGTATGCCGTCCATGCACGCCATCCTTGTAATTTTTTCACTTTCTGGGCACATTTTATAGATTCTTTCAAGTAGTCATCGTCATCGTCTCTGTCGTTGTCATTGCCGCCGACTAAATGCTGACAATTAATTTGACACAAATTTGCTGAGCTTCTTGATGGCTTGACGGAGGACTGACACCAGTAGCGATCACTAAATTGAAACAGGCCATAATCGTTTGACCAGTTGCCATTTAAGCGGCCAATGGCCGTGGTATTAAATTTACTCTCAAACTGGGCGATGCAACACCAGGTGGCAAGTTCAGATTTTGCAACACCTAAATGGAACATTGCTCTAGCTAAATCACAACATTTTATTATGCGACCGCTGGCGAAATGGAGATTTGTTAAAATGATGATGAGCAGCCAATAACTAAATTTTAGTTTCATAGTTCCACTATCTGTCTTCGGCCGTTCTTGATGTGACAAATTAAATATTCTAACTAAGAAAAAAATACAAATGCCTAAATATTCTTTGGAATCTGTTAGACTCTATGAAAATCGTAAGCTGTTTTGCGAAAACTAGTTTTTTTATTCTTGCCAAACCCCCACCAGCAAGCAGAGACAACACCCTAAAATTTGTTTAGTTTAAACAAATTATTTTTTTTTTTCGAAACCACTTTATTTATTAATGAAGCCATTAACTAAGGCATTTTATGACATAGATTTTTTTAATACCTTACATACCTATAAAGTGTTATCGAAGGTGGTTTGAAAAGTTTCGTTTCCAAAAATGGCAATATTTTTTGTGTTAAAATTGCATATTCATAAAAAGTTTTATAATATTAGAAGAACATACTAAGTAGTTTCTGGTTAGAAGACCCACTTTAGCCCGCAGTAGGGATTTCTGTTGAAGATCCATAAAACATTTTCCAGATATGGTAGACACGTAGCTATTCTGTAAAGTTTCGATGCTAAAAATTATAATCCCTTTTTATTGGACAAAATTCCATAGACAACTTTCATGACAATAGAATCTATTCCAGCAGTAGAATATTCATTTATTCAGAATGAGGTTCATATAGGACCTGATTGTCTTAATAAAAATTTCTTGATTTCTCGAAGGCCTATTGTCGGTCTTCTTTCTATAAAAAAAATTTGGTCAAAATCTCCAAATGAATTTATATAGAAATTATATTATTTATTGGAGATTCTTCTAGATCCTTAATCTATAAAATTCCGTAAAAGGCCTTAAGTTTTTAATACCTAACACTCGCATCTCAACTTCTCATGTGCAACATTTTTTTTTTGCTTAACACAAAATTAATTGTAAACATTTTTTAAGTATTTGTAACCCAATAGTCGGAGGGTCATTAATGCAGGCCGAACAAAAATCAATAAACAATTTGTTTACATTCGGTTTTAATGATATCTAATTCGGAAATCGGCACGTTTTTTGTAGAAATTCGCCATTAAAAGAAAACAACAATTAAAAAAGGTGGTCCAACCGTCCGCTTAGCCACTTGATATACTGACCACCCAACTAACTCCTTGGGCAACTTTACAAAATAAGCTAATAATTAGGACCACCTAGAGAGCAGCGGTCAGTGGTGAGAAATTTTGTTTAGATGGGGAACAATTAAAAATATTCTATTTCGAATTTGAAACTTTGCAATAATATTAATATTATTTGAGAAATTAAATACTAATTGCTGGTCATCTAAAAACAACAACAACAATGTTGAAACAGCAAATTTCAATTGCAGAGCATAAAATGGAAATGTTTCTCAATATAATTGTTTGTTTCATAAAGGTTTGGCGTTCCTTTTTCTTTTGTTTTTCTCCAATTGATTAGCTGGAGATTTGTTTACAAAAAAAAAAAAAAATAAATAAATAAATAAATCGAAACCGGTTTATTGTCATAATTTGCAATAAAAATCCGTAAAAACTGCACAAAGCTTTTGTACTTGAAAGTTGTTTAATTTAACAGAAAAAAACTATTGTTTGTCTAGCTGCTAATGCATAGAAGGTGCTGCTGTTGGAGGTGGTGGTGATGGTCAACACCCCAACCTTATCGTCGATGATGATTTACAATTATTGGCATAGTTTATTAGCTAGTGTACTGAGAGTCAGACGTAATTTCAAAACTTCAGCAACAGACAACGGATTACCTAAAAATCGAACATGATGAGTACTACTCCACACCCACGTTATTATATTAATTATGCAAAGCAACAGCCGAAAGTATCGGCAGCAGCACGTGTGTTTACGACGCTACCAATTTCCATAATCGTGACATCGTTTTTATTATCGTCGCTAATTTTATTAATGCACTGCAAAGAGACGCAGACGCGACGTCTACAACCATGCGAATTAGCAGGTCAATTGTATATATTGGACATACCGAAAGAGGAGTTACCGCTATGGCTTTGCATTGTACAATACGAGAGTCGCTTCAATACCCATGTCATTGGTTCGAGGAATACGGATGGATCCCTGGATTATGGCATATTTCAAATAAGTGATAAATATTGGTGTAAACCACCGACGACCACCGAAGATCCTCCACTAGTTCATTATTTCAATGAATGTGAAGTCGATTGTATGGATCTAATGCAGGATGATATTACCGAGGCTGTAAAATGTGCTAAACTCATACGAAAGCAGCAGGGTTGGTCAGCATGGTCGGTATATGGAGAATTTTGTAATGATACATCGAATGCGGCAATGATATATCAGGATATTGAAATTGAAGAATGTTTCAGTTAGGAATTTATGTACTATTTTGTGTTTATTAGAGTGTAACGGAAGTGAAAATAAAAATCGTAAACTTTTAAATTAAAGAACTGATTTTTTCTCTTAAAATCTTAATTGAATTGAAAAAAAATCGACCTTAATATCCACGAGAAAGTCTACAAGTCTCCTTAAGCCAGCAGTTATTTTGCAGGAGTACTATAGCCTGAGGAATTTCTAAATAATATGTAGCTCATATGTAGCTTGAAACTCTTCTATTGCTCTGGTATATACAACTTTATAGCTAAACGATACCACTATAGATTCTACTGCCGAGCATACCTTTATATCGTTAGTCAGCCTATGAACGTTGCTTCATGAACCCCTTTACATTTATATCGCTCACAACAACTTAAACGGATTTTATTAAAGCTTGAACAGATTCCGATAGGGTTATTCACTTCTTCGTGAAACCTCAAAGTGATAGCCAAACAAAGGGACCTCTAGAGCTTCTCAGCACCTAGAGGTGCGATTATACAGCTCCTAATGACCTACAGAAACTTCTATGGAGTGAATACCTTCAATAGCACCTAAATAGGGCTGGTTTAGACATAGAGGTCATTTAGCACATAAATATAGCTATTACTATTCCTCATTGCCAAAATACGCCTCCAACCAGATATTTACCTTCGATAGACAATACAATTTCTTACGACTTACAGGGAGCTCTTCACCTTCTACAGATTAACTGCACCACAAATAACATAGAATTAGAGCTCCTCAGGACCAAAATGCCCCTTTATAAAGCCTTCAGGAACTTTGTTAAGCCCTTCACACCTTCTACAAATGAAGTTTTATACACCCACACGTGTTTGAACACATTCTACACTACCGAAAAGTATCTCTAACTAGCCCTATGCTCTTCATTTTGTGACCATTTTACAGCCTTCATGGTATATTGAGATATCTATGTAGCTCCTTATCTCTTACAATACTTCTCCAGATGTGCCTTTATCAAGCTCCTCATGATCCACAGAGACGTCTGAGGAACTTCACAAATCTACTGCCAAGTAGTATTCTATAAATCTCCTATAGATCGTGTAAAGATCGAATACCTTTAAAATTGATTTATCGCTATCATAAGTCAATTCACTTTTTTCTCCATTTTTCACTTCATCATGCTGATTTTAATTTTTCAAATGGCAATCCGACTAAAAAAATTTTAATCAATGTTAATCCCATAAATTTATAATTCATTTCCTCTTTGTATATGATGGATGGGCTAAATTACTTCCTATTTTTAAATCATTTATTTTTGTTGTAATAATTACAATATTTATTATTGATTTTGTAACATTAAAAAATATAATACGAACACTTACATCTAATTTGATTACACTTTACTACATCCATCCAGCCATACAATTCAATTCATTCATCCATCTATCTATCCAGACAATACGATTTTTGGTTGTGTTTAGAGACAGATAAATATATTTTAAAAATATCTTGACTATGCACGTTTTTTTTTTCAATTTTCCACGTATAAATTTACCAACCCATGATTTATATTTAGAATTCAAAGGAACATCATGTGAGTTGAGATGTTGTTGTTTTGCCACTGAACAGATATGGACATAAAAAATCCGAAAACACTGAACCACCATTGGAGACCTATTTGGAATAGATTTTTGTGTGTGTGTTTTTGTTCATGCCATGTGTGTATAACAGCAACACATTGATTTGAATTCCACAAGAAAAAAAACGAGATAACACTGTCATTACAAAATTTAATCTGAATTTTATTAATTCGATTTCAAAATCGTTTCGTTTCATTATTCACAATTTATTATAATTCGTTTTTTAAGTGTTATTGTACATTAATTTTCTTGTTGTTGATCGTATTACTGCATTTGCATTTATTTATTTGTTGTTGTTCTTTCATAAAGGAAATGGTCAAACAACACTCTCACTCTGACGACCACCGCCAATGACCTTAAGCGGATGTTTAGACACCAAAAAATATCGGCCCCGCAAAGAAAGAAAAATTAATGCTAATTATTCCAAAGTTTGTAGTAGTTTTTTATGGCTGACCTTAAAATCGGAAATTGATTTCTTTTTTTCTTTTGTAATAAATTGGAAGTACATTCATGCAGAACAAAGATGGAGGTGTGAAGAAATAATGCCAAAAAGACAGGGAAATGGAAAGCACACATGTTTAGAAGTAAATAGAAGGCTAAACGCTAATATTGAAGTCAACACATAGGTGTACTATACATTTCTATATAAAACACCAAATTCTGCGTTTACCTATGTTAGACCAACAAGTTCAAAAGATATGACTTCACAAAATCTTCTTTAATATTCAATAGCAATCACAACTTCAAGAGGCTTAAAATAATCAGAAGATTTTCTAGATGACATTAATAATCAGCATTTTTTCTAGAGGTCTTCTATGGTCAGAAGACTTTGTAGTAGTCTTCTGACATATAGTTTTTGGTCGAGTTTAAATCCATTAGTTTCTGATGCAGACCACATAGCATCATCCCGTACCCTAAAATGTGGCTATGATTAAAAATCCACAACCCATTGTTAGGTATAGCCTCGCCACTGTCTTGTTGACCTTAAGTGTATGTCAAAATCGTTCCCTATTTTATGGCAGATGTCTTCCTAAAACAATATTTTTTATTATAAGTACAAAAGTGTGCTTTTTTACTCCTCCCAGATTTGCTCATCTTGTTTTTTGACCATGAAATACGGAATATGATGATTTTGATGATGTCTGTGGTGCGATGACTTCCTCACATTCGTGACTGCTTATGATGATGAGCAAGTACGCAAAAATATGTCGAACAATTACTTAAAATATTTTTTCTTTTCATTTTTCTCGAAGGGGCAGCAATTTTTTTGAATATAATTGCCATATGAGGTCATTTATTTCGTTCGGAATTAAGAACTTGAGCTTGCTCTTTCTTTGCAAAAAAAAAAAAAAACGCGTAATCAAATTAAATTTTTTTATTTAAGCATTTAATTAATTTTTCAATTGTGGTGCGATTCCATCCATCCACAGGCAGACTTTTTGATCATCTTTTTGTGTTATTGTTATTAATGGCCTTTGTATTCTTTATAATTTCAGCACCAGCCCTGGCACTCTACAAGATGTGACAATGGACAATCCATGTAAGTATTCATTTAATAATAGATATGCACAAATAGTTCATAAATTTAAAACTTATTGTATTTTTATAGAGAGGGAAGAGAGATGGGTTTAAACAAACAATCATCACACAGAACTCTGAAGTTCAAGCTTTGGCTATTTTGGGAATAGATGCCTTTGTAGGTCTATGCAGGTCTTCTATAGATTGAATAGCTTTTGCATGTCATATAAATACAAAATATCTGTATGTATATATAGGCAGACGCAGAAGCCACCTAACTCCTTTTCGGTGGGCAGAAAAAAACTTTTGCAAGATCAATATCACTGACCTTTTGCGGAGGGTCTTTTTTTAGGCAAGTGGACATTTGGAACACCTTTTGCCTTTTATAAGAAGACCTGCCTTATAAAAAGAAGACCTTCCCCTGCTAACATTTTTATCGTGATTCTCACTGAATTCATTCCCCATAATTGCCCTTTGAGAAGGCCATTTTATAGACAACTGAGTTGTATACGGGTCTCTTACCTTAAGAACTCCTAAGGCCTATTTTCTATAAAAAGAAGACCTTCTTCCGCAAGACTTGTTTGTTTTCTTGTTCCATATCAATTTATTCCCCTCAATAGCCCTTTAACCTCTTTTACAAAAATTTCCTATTGAGGATTAATCTCAAAAGAATTTCAAATATTCAAAATTATGATGACAATAAAAAAATTGTTTTTCAATTTGCCGACCGGGTCAGCGCAACAACACGACCATATAGTTTTCTACACATGGTTTAATGCCGTCTTCTCCACTCACACATATCGATAAATTTCAAAGTCTCTAATATGAAATTCAAAATGAAAAAAAATAGAAAAGAAAAAACATGAACTGAAATCATGGTCATTTCCTAAAAAGAACTTGGCAATGTTTCAAAAAATAATTCCTAACGAATGTGAGAGAGGGTGGGTGTACGGGAAATAAATAAACATAAGTGGCAAATTTGAGTGTAACACAATAATGATGTGGTGGGGGAATGGATGCTGTCCAGCCATATGCCTGTCCGCCCGTCCCATTCACTTAATATTCATATTTTCTTTCAAACATCATCATTTGCACCACCACGACGTGTGTTGTTTGGACCATGTAAAAGGTCATTTAAGAAAAAAATTGTTTTTAATTCGGTCCATTGTTTTGACCGTTCTTTCCTCCTACTACTTATACGTTTTCAGTCTAAGCAAATTTTAAAAATGTATAGATTATTTTACACTAGGCTACAATGTTTTAAAGATTTTAATATCGGAAAATGTTTTATTTTCACACAACAAAATTTGTTCTCTATAAAGACCTGTGGCTTCTATACAGACCAATTGTTCATTATAAAGACCTTTGGTCTCTATACAGACCAATTGGTCTTAATAAAGACCTGTGGTCTCTATACAGACCAATTGACAGACAAATCTTTATAAAGACCTGTGCTCTCTATACAGACCAATTGGTGATTATAAAAACCTGTGGTCTCTATACAGACCCATTGGTCTTTATAAAGACCAGTTGGTCTGTATAGAGACCACTGGGGCTTTATATAGACCAATTGGTCTGTATAAAGACCTTGTGGTTTCTATACAGACCAATTGACAGACAGAAGACCAATTGGTCTTTATAAAGACCTTATGGTCTCTTTACAGACCAATTGGTCTTTATAAAGACCTTGTGGTCTCTATACAGACCAATTGGTCTTTATAAAGACCTTGTGGTCTCTATACTGACAAATTAGTCTTTATAAAAACCCTTTGGTCTCTATACACACCAATTGGACTTTATTGTGTCCAAATCTTCCTGTTCCATAAAATATTTTCTTTTCCCATCAAAACCTAATATTTCATCCAGCCCCTCAAAAGTCAACTTCTTTTGAATAGGTTCTTCTCTTAATACTATAAGAGTATCATTTCTCTTTCTTTGTTACCTTTCTCTTACAAAATTGAAATTCTGTGCCGCCACATTAATTAATAGCAAGCAATGTTCTGCTGCCGATGTGCCTGCGTTTCGTTCGTTCTTTTGGGTTGATGAGGGTATGTCAGGAAATTCATTTTGTGGCAGACAACAGCATCGTCTGTGTTATAATTTTTATTGTTGTTGTTCTTGATGTTGTTTGTTCTGTGTTAATTTCCATTTGAACTAGACAACACCGAAGCGAACCACCACCCCCACGGATCTTTTTTTAGTTCTGAATAGAACTTTGTGATCATTACATCTTGGTGTCTGTCTTGCATTAAACAAATAAACAACTTTGTAGTTTTTTTCTTTCATTCCAAATAAAATGTGAAAAAATATTTTGAATTTTATTTCAAAAAAACAGTACATCAAAATTTTATAAAAAAAAATAAATAAACTGAAATTTTCACCTAACTGGAAGATTTGGAAAATTAAGTATAAAAAATAAATTAGAGAATGCAAAGAAATTGCATAATAAAAAAGACGGCGACATCGAATCAAGAAAGCGAAGGCAATAGCGGAAATGAGTATAATTTATTATTAGGAGATTTTGTAAAATCCCAGAACACCACCTCATTTGTGTGTCCCACAACAACATTTCAGGGTAGAATTTTTCTTGTCTATGGAATTTCAAATATTTTACATTATTTTTTTTCTTTCCTCCATTTCAGATGGTATCGGTTATCGTTCACCCTGTGTCAGCTTGCAACAGCCCTTCCAAGGCTCCACATCTCCAGCTGGCCATGGCCGTTCAGTAAGGGAATTTGAAGAACAAATGGCAACATTGCGCAAAGAAAATTTCAATTTGAAATTGCGTTTGTATTTCATTGAGGAGAGTATACCGGGCTATCAGCAAGCCTCAAATTCCACGGAGGGTCAAGATACGCTAATGAAACAGCTGATTGATGCCCGTGTGGAAATGGAGATTTTACGCAAGGAGATCCAAGAAAAACAAGATCTATTAAAGGAAGCTGCTCAGGCCATGACACAAATGGAGAAAATCCAAAAGGATACGGAATTCAAATATCAGGAAATGCTTGATGAGCTAAAACAGAAGATACAATACATGGAAATGGATAGGGAAATTGAGAAGACAAAGTCATCGTCGGCGGCAGGAGGAGGTCATGGTGAATCCATGAGTGATTTACTGGGACGTTCGGAAATTGCCGAAAACATGAATGCCTTGCAGAGGGTCAGTATTAGAGATATCCATTTTTAATTTTTTTTATAATAATACCTCGCATTTTTATTTTTAGATACGCGATTTGGAATCATTGCTAAAACAATCCGATGACAAACTTGAAGATTTCCAACAACAAATAAGCAAGCTAGACGAAATCTTGGCCAAACGTGATGAAACCATCCAAGAATATGAGGAAAAAGTCAAGGAACTGGTATTCCAAAATGCTGAACTCTTGGAGTCGGTGGAAAATCGTGATTTAGAATTGGCCACGAAAGAGGTAAATTTCCGCATCTGTTTTTAAGGAATATTCTGAACATTTTAATCTCCAACCCATTGTGTTTAAATAATCAAATTTGTTTGTTGTTTTAAAGCGTTCCATAAAAGGTCTTCGTTCTGCCAATGCAGAACTTAAATCTGAAAATGAAAAACTTGTAAAGGCATTCAAAAGCTCTCAGGATAATTTCAATCAAGAAATGTCTAATATTAAAGAATATGAGAGTAAAATGAATCAACAACAAGAAACGTTAGCGAAAATTCAAGTAAGTCGGAGATCTACATTTTGTGAGGTGGGAAAATAGGTGGCGGGTGTTGGTTTTGATGAGTGTTATTTTTTCTTGTAATCACTTGTATAAATTGTTTCATATCCACCACTGTATTAAAATGGTAATCAGAGGCACTACAGAGGATTTCCAAAAATATACATGTTATGTTGTTAATGTCGATTGGAGAAACGGCAACTTGGAAAAACCATTAAATAAATGGGAAGAAGTGATATTTTATATGAATTTAATTTATAAAAAACGAAGTCCTAAAAGTCCTTTACTTGGATCCTTTCGTGCCTGTATCCTAACGAAATCATTAACATTTATTCATCAATATTTCCTTCGTTTTTTTATTCTTCATATCGACATATATTTTAAGCTGAATTTTTTCACTTTTAATAACATAAAACGTAAATTTCGTCCTTTAAGATCATTCCGATTCTTTTTAATATTTTTAAAATAGAATCCATTTGCACCATATGTTTTTTACATTTTAAACCATCATCTTCATTCATAACCTCACATTTTGTGTTATTAAACCATCAACGCTTTATTTTTTGTTTTCATACAAATTCATTTTGGTGTCTGGCAACGAACAACAAATCCATTCCATTGCAATCTCTCACATCCGCATTTAACAAAAAAAAAAAACCTAAGACCACAATAACCATTAAAACTTTCAATACTGAACGTTTATTGAATCGCCTCGATGACTTTGAGCGAATTGTTGCAAGAAACGCTATGGAACGGAACTTGGTGAAAAGAGAAAATCTATTTTTTAAAATGATTATGGATAAATTGAAAAAGGATATCAGCGAAAAGAAAATGGGTTAATGAATACATCTGTATATATTTTTTATTAATTTGCAATTCTGATTTTTATAAATAAAAAATGGAAATTTTATTTTTTATAAAAGATAAGAATTTTTGGTCACCCTTCAAAGAATGTCAGGAGTGATTAAGAAGATCAGTCAAAGGTCTAAAGATTCCCACGAACAAAAGACCTTATTAGGAAGTACTGGGAAGTACTTCATGGAAGACCACAGATTATAAAATGAAGCCGTTTGCAGACTACCAGAATAGTAAAAGCATCTCCTTTGATTAAGTATTAGAAGGTATTATAGATGAACTTCTGAACATGAAGTTATCCCGCATTTGAGAACGTATCAATCATTTGGAACAAATAATCCATTATTGGCAAGACTTCTTATTATAAATTCTTATGCGCAACTACCAGGATGTATTCTTTTGTAAAATATCGTTAGACTTTCCCTATGGAAGGCCAAAATTGTTGATAAACAGATAGACATATCCTTTGATTTTTTACCAAAAGGTCTTAAAGATGGGCTTCTGAACATGAACCAACCAATTGGAATAAATAATTCAATAACGCTATAGTCGCATTCTTGAAATTAAACGCCAATTAGCCGAAGCCGATGATATGCTGAGAAAGGAAAAATGAAGGTTGAGGAATAAACCAAATAATTGCAAATTTGTAGACTTGACAAAGTAAAGAGAAATCTCGTACCTTGAACAAAATATGACGGATTGTCCGTTTAACTGAACTGCATATCAATTCCCTGAATGATGGAATGGAAAATATGAAACTGAAACACAAAGATGCTTTACAATAACACAACGAAAGTAACAATTGGCCCTGTTAGGTCAAGGTCGAAATTGATTTTTTGTAAATGTTCACATTTTGATTTTAGGGTCTCAATTCTCTACTAAAATTTTATATTACTCGACCTTGTGAAATTACTCTTTCGAGTATATATATATTTCAGTACAGTTCAAAATATATATTACTTCTCATTTAGCATCATTACTACTACACATACACATTCACAATGGGTTGAAGGTTACATACATATATATGATCAACACACATTATTCCTCCTCATAATTATTAACATTTCAATCAATTCATAATCATAACCCAACCTCTATTTTTTATATGACAACAGACCCAACAGCTGAAACAAGATTTGCAAAAATGTAAAATGGAGGTGGCGGATAAAATGTGTCTGGTACAGGAATTGGAAGATAAACTTAGCAATCGGGATCAATTGTATGACAAGGCACGTTTTACCATACAGAAATTAATGTTGCACATTAAAAATCAGCAGGCTGAAATAAATCGTCTCAAGAATCACAATACAAGTCAAAATGCATCGTCCGCAAACAGTAACAACATTAACAACAACACGGCAAATAATGAAAAAGAGGTAAGGAGGATATAAACCCCAAGACAACAAGGGCCATTTTTAATAACTTATTTATTTTATTTTCTATAATTTTAGGCTGCTGTGGGCATAAGTGGCCTTGAAGTTACCGGTTTCTGTCCATCGCTAAGCGATTCCGATGCCATACAAGAAATGCCTTTGGCCCAGAAACAAAAATATGAAACCATTATACAGGAACAAGAGGCCGTAATTGAAACCTTAAAGGCTGATATTAAAAAGAAAACTGCTGATTTACAGGTAAACACAACATAACCACAAATTATTTATCAGTCTCTTAACAAATTTTATATATTTCTATATTCTTCAATAGCACTTCGTCAACAAGGAGTTGTGGGAAAAGAATCGTGAAATAGAACGCCTCAATAAAATGTTAAACAACAATTCCACCACATCGGCAAATTGCCCCACCTCCCCGAAAAACAATAACACCAGCAACAACAACATTAGTCAAGATGCCGTTGAACTTCAGCAATCCTTTTCCGATGTCGAATATGCCAAAGCTGTACAACGCAACAAGTTGCTGCAGCGTAAAGTTGATATTCTGTTACAACGTTTGGGTTCGGAACGTAATACCGATGCTGTTATATCACAATTACGTACCGAACTGAAACAGGCTCGTTCAGATGCCGAGAATGCTGAAAAATGGCGTCGTCAATGTGGCGACTTGTGTGCCACATTATCTACACGTCTCGAGGAGTTGGCCGGTTTCCTTAATTCCCTTCTAAAACACAAAGATGTTTTGGGTGTTCTCGCCGTCGAGAAACGCAAGGCTATGCGTCGGGCCGTAGATCGCAGTCTCGACTTATCGAAGAGTTTAAATATGACACTTTCGGTGTCTGGCCTATCCATGATTGATCACTCGCTGGCCGAACTGCACAATCTCTCCGATATTTTGGGTGATGTTGAGGCTGGCTTGGCCAACGAAACCTTCAATTCACACGAAGAGTTACATGCCGTCAGCTATGCCAGTGGTCAACAAATGTCCATTGAAACGTTGAAGGCTGAAAACAAGGCCTTGAAGAAGGAATTGGACAAACGACGCAATGCTGAAAACAAAAAGGAAAGACGTTCTTTGCCGCTCAGTGTCATGTTGGAGAATCGTGAAAGTGAATCAGAAGCCTGGTCAGAGCCAGATCGTAAAGTTTCTCTCGCCCGCATTGGCTTGGAAGATCATTCATCTTCGCTTATGCCACCACCATCTAAAGAGCCATCACACGCCCAACAAGCTGAGACCGACAGCGATTACAGTGAATCTGGTCAATTGGATAGCCGCAACATGAAATCATCCCGCACCCAAGAACGCATCAATCAATTGGAACAAATCATACAACAACGCGACAATCGCATTCTGGAAATCCAACACCAATTAGCCGAGGCCGATGATATGCTGAGAAAGGAGAAAATGAAGGTGGAGGAGTACACCGAAGAATTGGAAGACTTGAAAGTACGCAATAAAGAACTGCACGATGATTTGGTTGCCATTGGCTCGCAAGAACCCAGCTCCGTGCACAATGAATCCATGCTTTTGCAACAAATTGAAGAAAAATCTCGTTCCTTGGAAAAAATGCAAGAAGAACACGAACGTCTGGTGATGGAATCACGTTTAGCGGAAATGCAAATCAATTCCCTCAAGGATGAAATGGAAAATATGAAACTCAGACACGAAGATGCTTTACAAAAGGCCAACGAACAACAGAAGCAGCAATTGGCCATGTTGCGTCAAGAAATGGATAATCTGTTGCAAGAATCCCTGCAGGCCAAACAGCAGGAAATGGATGAATGCCGCAAACAGTTGAGTGACCTGCAACTGCACTACATGGAGGCACAACGCAATATTGAATGTTTGCAAGAGAACGAACATGAATTGAAACAAACCTTGGTCGAGTCCGAGTTGACGGCCAGAAATTTGCAAAAACAAATCGATGAGAGTACGTTGAGGGCCTCAAAGGCCACAACGGAACGTGTCAAGGCATTGAATGAAAAATTGCAATTGGAAAAACGTTTGGAGGAGCTGTCCCAAGAATTGACAACATATCAAACGGAACGTCAACAACTACAACAACAAGTTGAACAATTGGAAACGGAACAATCGCAGCTAATGGAACGTTTGGCCGTCGCTCAACGTATGGCCGAAGAGGCAATGGCCTCAAAAGAAAAGGCGCAAAAGAAAGCCGATGACACTTGTCAATCGGGTTACACATCGGAAGAAGTTCCACTTACCATGGCCGCCAATGGAGCTCAAACGGTGGCCCAACAACGCTTGGGAGAACAACGCACCCAAAATTATTCACCCGATTTGGGTATTGAAAGTGATGCTGGACGTATATCAAGTGCTGAATTGAGTAGTGCCCAATTACCGCTATTGAAAACTGTGGAAATTAGTCCTAATAAAGAAAATCTAAATGTAACTGAAGGTAAGAAAAAATATCATAAATATCACAGGTTTAAAAAAGAAGTGGCTCAAATTTTTTTATAAGGAATCTTTAGCATTCATATAATTTAGAAAATTTAACTTTTATAGGATATCAGGATGAATTTTTTTAAGAATCCCAAAAGGATATTTGTTTCTTTTTTATTAATTTGAATTCCTTTGTTTCTTCTTTTTTATTTTCAGAACCTTTGGATTCAAGTTTGGAAAACATTAAACCATCTAATTTACCACCCAATACAGCTGCTGGTACTGCTGCTGGCCAAGATAATCTCGCCTTTAAGAAACACGATTGTGCCAAGGTAGAACAAGAAAACGCTGAACTGCGTCGTAAATTGTTGCGCACAAAACGTGCCTTCGAAGACACCTATGAGAAGTTGCGCAATGCCAATCAGCGCAAAGCACAAATCGAAAAAGACATTAAAAATCAAATACTCAAAACGCACAATGTCCTCAAGAATGTCCGTTCCAATATGGAAAATGAATTGTAACAATTTATTTTCGGCCATGGAATGGACGTGGGTGACAAAACAACTCCAATAATAATGCAATAAACCACCACCAACCATACCACATCACCACACATTAAAGACACTTGTTTTTATATTTTAATATGAAATCATGTTTATCATTAATTTTAAATTTAAAATAACTTAATTTATTTTTTAAATGCCATTTACTAAGTTTGTTCTTTAATGTAGTTCTAGAATTAGAATATAATTTTGTAAACAAAAAACGAATGCAACGAACTTTTCCAAATGTCCTCCTCGTCGTCGTCGTGTAACCAAACCACCCAACACCAACCACAAGACTTACAAACAAAAAAATCATTATCCTTTTCCAAATGCCATAATAATTTTAAGTTTTGTTCCATGTATTATTAATTATAATTACTACTTAAATTTAGAATGTCACACACACACACATACCCACACAAACATGGAGACATCATCACATGCCCTAATAATTTTAGTTTCTTAACGAGATTAACGACCAAAATAACTCTCTCGATCATCATTCATATTGAATGAAATGTTTCTCTGCAATGCACGATTAAAAAAATAATTTTAATAATAAATAAAAATATTTTTCCTTTAACCACTTTTATTTTTTACTGCTTGTAATTATTTTAATTTTATTTGTTTATCCGATTTCTTGCTTGATTTTCTTTCTTACTTTTTAGCTTATTTGAAGTTATGCTGATGCTGCCATCACGAACATCACCATCAACAACCTGCAAAATTATTTAAGCGATATTTCGATTTTTTTTTGATAACGAACGAACAAAAAAACTGAAGCTTTTTATTCTAATTTCCATTTCTTTCCATTATTGTGCAAGTTAATTTTTGTTGTCCACATTTAAATAGCAAAAAAATTGCATGTACATTATGTAAAGAATTTTAGTATATAAATTAATGTGTTTTTTTATTGTACAGTCGTCCCCCTTTTTCCTTTAACAAAAACAAAACCCACCCGCCCCTTGTCTATTTAGTAGTTGTAAATAAAATCTACGAGTTTAAGTTTTATATCGAACAAAAATAATTGTTAATAATACGAAACGAAATAAATTAAAAATAAGAAGAAAAATGTTATATGTAAAATGAAAAGTGTGTTTTATTTCAAATTACGTTTTGGTGTCTTCCCGTATTTAAAATTTTGTAAGAGGAAAAACGAAAGCAATTAAAAACTAAAAGAAGAATCTTCCATATTCGGGACCAAAATACAAATGGGTACAACCAAAAGTGGTTGCTCTGTAGAAATATATGTTTGACTGTTTGTGGGGGAGGCATTAGAAGGAGTTGATTGATGGATTTCATTTTCGGACATGATCTAGGTTTGGTAAAAATATTGCGATTTGCAAAATTTGGATCAAATCGGACATTTCATTCGTTTGATATTGGATTGACAAATGTTCAAAATTTTGACCCTTCATGGGGGAGGTACTAAAAGGAATGCGCCGATAAGTCCCATCTTACAACATTATACCAACATGATCAAAATATTAGCTTGTGCAAAGTTTGGTTGAAATCGGACATTCCATTCTCTTAATATTGGACTTATAAAAATTGAAAATGTTAACACGTTGTGCGGGAGGCACCACAAGAAGTGCGCCTATCTAGTGATCTATTATTTGTGTGGGGTATAGCACAGGTTGCCCAAATCGACTATACTGCATTGGGTACATTTAACCAAAAAATTAGTCGATATTCAAAATATCTTCGAACTTGCAAATAATGCTAATTTTCTCTTGTATAACATACATTTTTATAAGTATTTTCGATATGGAATAAAACTTTATATTTTCCTCTAACCATTTTTGCAAATTTTTTGAAAATCGGTTAAGTATTCGCTGAGTTATTTGCATTTGAATTCAACCATGTTCCAAAATATACTTACTGATTGGTGCTGGGCACCTGTTACGTAAAAATGCAAAATCACACAAAAATGCATTTCTCAAAAATGACAATCTTCCTTTCATAGTATGTATGTGTGTGTGGCTGCTGGTTTGTGTAATGAAATTCATAGTATACTTTTAGGCCAAACACAGTCATTAGCCCTTTGTGGGCATTTCTTTAGAATTGTCTTCTAATGCCTGTAACTTTTTAACAAATTGCTCAATTAACACAAATAAGGTGTCATATTAAAGGGCAAAATGTTGTCTTTATTATAGTATCAATAAATTCAAATTTAAAAACTCATTTAAGGTTGTAATTTTTAAAGGTAGATTTTAAAATAATTTTTCATATATTACATTTCATATTTATATGTTTATGAGCAAATATCGAAATAGCTAAACTCCTTCTTACCTTTCATATGATACCAATTTTATTACTGTACTCCATATCTAAAGTTATTGGAACTCTTCTGGTACCTTTCCACAGATGGTTGGATATTTTATTATAGAAAAATTATCGATAGTGAGATTTTTCTATAGAAAAATTATCGATAGTGAGATTTTTCTATAGAAAAATTATCGATAGTGAGATTTTTCTATAGAAAAATTATCGATAGTGAGATTTTTCTATAGAAAAATTATCGATAGTGAGATTCTGAAATAAAACTTCAATTAATTTTCCTTAATCAATATTGCGATTTTATTATTTTTTTATCTTATTATTTTAATAGTAATAAATTGCTGTTCATAATTTTAACTTTTTTTATTATTTTTTTTTAATAATTTATTTTTAAATAATAACTTATGATAAGAGAGAGATAGATAGTAGAGATATTCCTAAAGTTTACAATTGAAATTAATGGCGAATTGTAAACGATAAAAACCATTTTCTTGTTTGTAGAGATCATTTGAAATCGCTGTTATTGAGTTATTGAAAATATATTTTTGAAGCATATACTACAACAAAAGCAAATTTAAATAAAATCGCACATAGAAAGCAAAGTTATTTAATTTGTAATTATTTGGCAAAATTCCCATGAAACTTATTTACGCTAATATCTGACATTTAATATAAATATAATTTCAATTTTGGAACAATTCTTTTTTTTCTTTTCTTAATTAATAACATAATAGGATTTTAAAGCGATATAAACAAAAAATTATATCACTTAAAAGAATATTTGGAATGGAATCCTTTATTTTTTTAATTTATTTTCAATGTAGATTGCATTGCATTTTTATTAATAGTCATAGATTTATACTAAATATTTGTTAAGCATAATTTGTTGGTTTTGTATACTTAAAATTTAGAGTTGTTGTTGTTGTCAAAGCTAAAATGCTAAAAATTAGGTACCATCTACATATGTATTGAATTATTCAAAACATTTTGATAAAATGTTCCAATTTCATTTTGTGTTCTCTCTGTATGTATATATATAGAAGAAGAGTATTGTAAATAACCTCTTTATTTTTTAATATTATTTGAATAGAATTGCACTTTTCCTTTGCTTATTATTTTTCATTTGATATCATTTATTTTTGTTTAGAGTTTCTTATTTTGTTTTTGGCAAAGCACACACACATATCTAATATATTTTCATAAAAATAAATTAATTTCTTTTTAACTAAAATGTGCGCATAAAAAAATAATATTAAATTGCAATTTTTGCAGGCTATATTGCAGCAGTTGTTGGCAAGTTTGTTTGTTTTGTTTTTCTTGGTGGTGTTTAGTATAAGAGGTGCTGTTTAAATTTTAAAATTTAATTTTTATTTTAAAAGTTGTCACTTATTATTTATATATGTATAACTGTACATGATTATTTTCGGGTGGGGACCATTATAAAATTCAAACACAATGTTGAATGAAACCTTTGTGTTTCATTCATAATTGTGGTGTGAATCTCATAGATTTCCCTTTTTGTTAAAATCCTAGTAAGTTTAACTATCGACTGCTATAGAATTGATTTATGCCCAAAACATGTTTCTCTTCGTGATATTTTTGTAGGATATGTGTTATAACCGAGGTTGTGTCATTGTCATCGCCCCACACACGTATTGATTGTTCATTTTCCAGTATTGCTAAAAAGGCTAAAAGAGAATTTTGTTTTTGAAATTTTCTTAACATTATTTTTCATTTTCTTTCGAACTTACCCAATAAAATTTCAGGATTACTTAAGCTTAGTTGAACTTGTGGCAATTGCAATATTGTTTTTAATATTGGCGAGTCTTGAGCTAATCCCTCACGTAATTCTACTAAACTACCAGTACGATTTCCACATAACCATTCACAGGCAGCAGCTTTGTTGTTGCAGGTTTTCTTTAATGCCTTAAAGAAGAGCAGAAAGTGTTGAAGCAATTATACAAAATTAAAAAAATGAAATATATTTTTTTCAAGTAATATCCTGAGGGGTGGATCGATAGTGAGATTTTTCTATAGAAAAATTATCGATAGTGAGATTTTTCTATAGAAAAATTATCGATAGTGAGATTTTTCTATAGAAAAATTATCGATAGTGAGATTTTTCTATAGAAAAATTATCGATAGTGAGATTTTTCGATAGTGAGACTATAGAAAAATTATCGAAAAATAGTGAGATTTGTCTATAGTGTGATTTTTCTATAGAAAAATTTCGATAGTGAGATTTTCTATATAAACATTACCTACAATGTGATTTTTATATTTTTTCCTAAGGAAAAAATTTAGATAATTTTTTTAGAAAAATTTTATCGATTTTTACAAAATATGTTTCTCTCACCTCAATGACGTCACTTTCCTGAAAACCCATCTCCACCAAAGTTTGCACAGCATCGGGGGTAGGCGGAATATCACGATAGCTGTATATGCGTACAATTTCCAATAGAGCTGCAATATTTTCCACCGTATTCTGTAAAGAGAAAAATTGAAGAATATTAATTTTAAAGATTATAGACTTGGGGCCCTGGATTTTATTTTTGTATTCAGGAATGGTCTCCCTTAAATGACTTTAAAATTACAATTTTACGAATTGACTTCAGGTCAGCCATTAAAAGACAAGATCTACCATTTGAAGATTTTAGATCGTACATTAAAAGGCCTAAAAACTTCTATTAAAGGACAAGGCTTTTCAGATACATTGAAAATAAATCTTCCTTTCGAGGATCCTTAAAGAATGTGACATATAAAAATTACTCACATCACTTGACAATATACCCGATGGTGATGCCATTGAATTTGTCCTTGGTATACCCATTACAACCTCTTCAATCGATGTCTCTTGACTTTGACGCTGTATTAGCCATTCCAAGGCGGCCGAATAGACATTATTGTGCAGCTTCAAGGCATATTCGGCCTTTTCTTTTTTAAAGCCCATATCGACAAGGCACTGCGTTGTATCGTTCTGATAGTTACGCTTATTGATAAGTTTCTGTTTGAGCATGGCTATTAAACGTTTGGCATAGGGACCGGAACCAATAACCACAGCAGAGGCCTGGGCCAGGGATATTAATACTTTGCGGACATCAAAATGTAACTGAAATAAAGGGAAGCAAGATTAAAGATAAATTATAAACAATTTCCCTATTCCACTCACATTTGATTGCTGAAATATTTCATTAATATCCACGAGGGGAACATCAGCCGAACGTACGGGTAAATTTCTTGTTGCCAATTCTATATCTTTGTCCGAGGGTGAACGAATCTCTCGGGTTTGATTTACCAGTTGCTGCAGATTGTTACGTTTTGCCACCAAAACCAAGGTATCATTATTACCAATACCCAATTGTTCAAGGCTATGTGCTTCATTCAGTTCGATGCCTTGATAATCAGCCTTTAATAGACGAAATTTTGTAGCCAATGTTTTAACCTCACAGGCATACAGGGACATATGGGCCATCAAGTCATCTGATATTTCTAAGATAATTTCATTTTTCAATTCTAATAGACGGCGTTGACAGTCGGTTTGGAATATCATTACCCTGGCCGATGGACAGATTACACGAACCTTAATGCGTTCTCGAGGCGATGAGCCTCTGGCAAAGCTATCTGTTGTATTAACTAATGTAGTGGCGAAGGACGAAGATGCTGCCGAGGAACGGCGGGAACTTTTTCTAAAAGCATAGAAGAAAAAAACATTAATGTAATCTGTTGAAATGAATTATGGGATATTACTTGGCAAAAATGCTACGTAATTTTTGCATTTTACTTGAAGAATTTAGAAATGAATTTTAATTTTTATTTGTTTTCAATTCAAAACATTGCATACTTAGCTAACTTGACGGGGGACGAATGTAAGGAGCGGGTTGCATGATGGCATTGTTGTTGTTGGTGTCGTGTGGGCGTTGGTGAATTATGTTGATTCCTATGTGAACTATGTTGACTGCTGTGTCCCGGTGAATTTGCATCGGTATCATCTTCCAAGTCCTCTTCATCATCGTCGTCGTCTTTACAATTTAAACGATGAAATCGAGGTGAATCTCGATCACGCATTTCACTGGACTCATCGTCATCATCTTCTTTGTTGCCGCCGCCACTAGCTCCACCACTACTACCACCACCACTGCTACCTTGTGATCGTTTGGAACGTGCCAACCACTTTGCCCGCCTTTCAGCAAATTTTTCACGCACCCATGGAATCATTTTTTCATTTCGCGCAGGAAGGATTCACAGGACACTACTCAGTCATTTTTTCATTTCTCTGTAAGGTTGTTGTTGCTGTTGGCCTTTATCTACTATTGTTTTTGGAACCGTTGTTAATGCTATAGCTTCGGTGTCGGGTACATTTCAAGTTTTCGATGGCGCCATAGCTAGAAAAATACCAAAACAATTCCAATTCGATTTATCCATTTAACCCAATACTTAGATTTTTTCCAATTAGAATTTTACTTTGCTTGTAGCAGAATTTTTTGGGATGTAAACATGCAATTATCCTTTAGCCGTCGTTCAAAAATATCCAGGGGCTTTGATGTTTTGCATTTGTCAAATGTTTGTCCGAAATTGCAACTCTGATGAAAAAACGGTTATTTTTTTAATAGTTGAAAATGACACGAGATCAAGGTAGGTATAATTAGAAGAAATTTTCGAAGGAGTGGATATTTAAAAATATTAGTTCAAACAAATTTTAGTTCAAGCCCCATCCAAAGGTGTGGATTTTTCAAACTAGTAGTTCAAGCCCTATCCAAAGACTTTTTTTGGAATTTCTGAAACCTAAAATACAGTGGGTATTGGTTTACCACCACCTTTCACAAAAAGTATCAGTAACCAAAGTGCATAACTAATGTAATAATTTCCAAATTGTTTAAGAATTTACTTCTTTCGCGTCATCTGAAATAATTAGTGTTGCCACATTGTATACAATTTTACACCTAGCGCCCTCTGCATTTCAACATCCATAATTTATTTTTTAGCTCCGTTTTTTCCCTCATTCTTGTGTTGTGTGCTCCGTTTTTTGTCACAGGCCACCGTTTGCAAACAATCAACGCCACGCCGTCATTTATTCAGTTTAGTATGGCTCCGTTATCTGCAGAAATTTAGTTTCATTACGCGATTAATTTTTATTAACAAATATCTCGTGAAATTGGTTTTTTAATTGTGAAATATTTATGGCAAACGTGTCCCCAGCCACCACCATTGCCCGGGTAATAGAAATTAAGTGAAAATTCATAGAATTTGGAGCAGAAAAGCGCAAGTGAAAATTCTCAAGCAGCAGTAGCAGCAATTCGAGAAACAAGCAAAATCAAGCAAGCAAATGAAATCGTAGAAAGAAGAAGCATCAGCAGCAGCACCACATATTAATGCGTTGGATTTGGTTGAAGGAATACTAAGAAGAAACACACAAAAATAAGGTAGCAAACAGCAAAAGAACGAAACAACCAAACACAGAAAACAAAAGAAACAAATAGAAGAAGAAACAAAAAGAAAACGAAAAAATAAGTTGCTTTGTAATGTTTTTATGGGCTATGCGAAATGAAATGAACAAGGAAAATAACTAACAAAGCCGCCAACAACGACGACGCAAAAATCAAATAAAAAATAAAGCACATACAACACAACATAAGAAAAAATACTAATAAAAAAGAGGTAAACAATTTTGTCAATTTATAATCTTTGTTTTCAATATTTTTATCAGAGAAATTAAAAATCCGAAAATTCGTTATTTTTCTTGGAATGGTGGAGTGAGTGTTGTGTGTACTGGCCCTGCACACCATCTCATCGTGGATTGGTGTTGTGTATATTGCAAGAGTGTGTTAGTGTATATATGTATATCAGTGTGTGTATATATGAGTGGGAATCACCCTGCAAATAATGCGCCTAACCCTTACACGCGTGTAAAGAGTAGTCCATAACAGACCAGGAGTAGTCCAAAACTAACCCAAATGCATTGAAAAAACCTAACCGATTTAGCATTGCTATGTCCTAGGGCCGGACCATGTAACCCAGCTTTGCATTACATCAAAGTAGTTTCAAAACTAGTCCACGTCATTACTCTATGGTACACCACATACGGTTGATCTTAAAACTAATCCGTGTAACTAGTCCATAGAGTACCCCAGAGGGCTAGTTTTGAAACCAATCCATTAAGTGGTCTATTTATTTTGCGCTTTTCTCTGATTTAACGATATATACACTCAGAGAAAAACAGGAAATAATACAACATAAGTAATGTACTATAAGTATTAGTGTTTTATTCTATAAAACATAAAAATAAATATTTCATTCTGCAGGTACATTGATAGTCTTTAGTGAGATAAATAATATAAGTAATAATAAATTCATTAAAAAAACTTAAGTAATATTCCAATTCACTGTCATTAAAAAAATTAAAAATTACATGTAATTAACAAATTATATAATTAATTTTTGTTTTTGTTTTGGGAACAAACAACTCGGAAGTGCCTTTTTTTTACGACTTGGAGTGCTGCTCGAAATTCTTTTTCGCTATTGGGGGAATAGTCACTTATTGCAGCTAAAATAAAGAAATTCATTAAAACTTAATAATGTTTTAGAATCAGAATACTTACCAATAACAATTTTATATATTCTTTTAAAATTCTTCAAACATTTTTTCCCACAAATACCATCCGTATTGTACATTACGCAAATCTCCCGGGAAAAAATGCGTTCCAAATTTTTTATTGCGCTGCCATCGATTAAATACTTTACAGCAGATATCTAAAAATAAAAAAATATTGAAAAAGTATATAATTTTAAAATTGAAGGTATTTCAACATATATACAATATAGGGCAACGATTACTTACATATTTTTCTTCATTCGAATCGCATATTTCACTCTCAACTTTTTGGAGATCTTCTTCGGATTTGAGGGGAAATTTGCTTGACAGGGAAGTAACATTTTTCTGGGACTTATTGAGGGTTTGCAGCTGTAATTTGTGCTCTGCTAACATTTCCACTATTATTTTGTTTTGCTGTTCTGTTGTTGCTATAAGAGAAAGAACTATATAACAAAAAATAACGATGACGAAAAAAACATTATACTTTACTTTGTAATTTTGAGAGCTGTTCCTGTAATTTTTTTTGTTCAGTCATCATCCCAGCCATCATTTCTATAAATTAAACAATGTTATTAATAAAGACGAAACTCCATATTTAACAAAAACTACCTTTGAGTTCTATGCAAGAACAGCATGGCGTTTCTTTGGCACTATCTGAAAAACATAGTAATATGGCTTTAGAAAATTGAAAAATGTATGTTATAAATTTACTTACAATTAGAAAGTCTGTTGCAAGTATTTAGATGTTTAAGATTTCTGCCCTCCATTTTAAATATTGTCGAATTGCGAAGATATCAGTTAGAATTGCGTAGATTAAAAGTGTTGGCTATATTAAATAAATGAGACGTTAATTTTTGCAACTTTAAATGCAACTATGAAGAATTGGCATTAAAACCACTTTATTTTCAAAGGGCAATGATATTAGTTTGCAATTAATATTTTCAATATTAAATATTTCCTCACTATCTTCTAATATCTTATCAGCAATACATATACCTAATGCTGATAATGAGTCCAATGGCTCTTCAAAAAAAGGACAAATATTTTTGAAACGTCTCGCTTTAAAAAAAATTTTATTATTCTCTCCTCGTTTGAAGCCTGTAATTTTTAACGGGGTAAATGGCATTACAAGACAAATGTTATCTGGTGTTTTAATGCTCAACCAGTATTCATCACCCAAGTAACCATAAATAAGTCCATTTTTTTCTTTTAACCCCAATGTTTTTGGCTCTTCTATTAAATTTTGCAAGACATTTCTTCTGTGTAATTGATTTAGAATATCAGTCGGTTTGCGAACATCTTTTTTTATCATTTGCAAATGGTTCTCAAAATCATATGCTGAAAAGCTGTACAGCAAACCGTGCTGTTTGACGCATTCACATATATGAAGCAAACTGTGCACATTATAGGTAACGTTTTGAGGACCAAAAACGACACTGAAATTTTCAACAAAGAGTTTCAACAAATCTTCGGCGGCAGCAATGTTATTTTCAAAGTTTTTTGGACATGACAAAAGCCTTATAGCACAATGAAAGACTAAAAACGTGTAATAAAAATCATCACCAACATTGTTTTTTAAGACTAAAACACCAGTGTATAGTAAGAATTGACGAAATTCTGTAGCTTTCCAGTTCGCAAGTTCATCCAAACTACGAGGCATTCTTGTGAAGTCTTTAGTAATACACTTTTTTAATGAAACTAGTAATTTAGATATATTTCCCTTATTCGAAATTGAAATTTTTTCATTCACTTTATTTTTTACTAGTTTCATCAACATTTTCCTAGTTACCCCTAAATCAATAACGTGCATTGGGTCTAAAGGAACTTGACTTATCATATTTAAATTTATTTTCTCCAATGGTGTTTTGGTTTCAATAAATTTTAATTGGTGATGATTTTTATATTTCCTTTTAGCAAAGTCGTCATCGTCTATAATTGTACCTACTTCTGAACTATAAGTTAAAACATTGCATATTTTTTTGGCCACTTGGGTACATTTTGAACAACCATTTGCAGATGAATGGTGAGCTATCCCACAAATGAATGATTTTGCGGGAGCATCACAAATCACAGCTCTTATTTTAAAACTAATTTTTTTGCCACCAATAAACAAGTGATTTTCCTGTAAATCGCAAATTTCTTCAACGAGTTTTTCTAGGAACTGACTTATATCATGAGGTTTCTGTTTGCCCTTATAAATACCAACAGGAAACACCTTTATATTTCTAATATTAATAACTTTAATTAATATTGGCCAAAGTTGAAGATTTGAGCTTTTAAAGATGGGTAAACCATCAATATTAATATCGCAAATTATTTCCTCATATTTTTGTAAAATTTGTGCTGCTTTCATTAAATTTTGTTTCAGGCCGAAATGTGCATATTCACCAGGAGGAACAGAAATTATATCTGCCCTCGAACTAACTTTTTGCACCAGTGTCATTGGAGAGAGAGGCACATCCAAACCATAATTTTTTAAAATTATTAGCAGTTCTCTCATGTTCTGGTTGGATGTCCGGCTTTTTAACTGCCATTGCCCTAAAGCACTTATAAAGTTGTTTCTTTTGTCAAATTCTTCATTTGCATTGTAATAATCATTTTCTGTCCCTTCTATTTCAACTATTGAATCTGAATCTGCTTCGGCATTTTTTTCTACTTCAATTTGTTCACACTCAACACTTGAACTAAATAGTCTTTTGACAAAATCTTCTTTTTCAGCTTTTAAAAGCCGTCTTTTATGACGCGAACTACATTCCATTTTTTTATAAGTTATTCTTTTTACCTTCAAATCTTTTACTTTTGTTTACACAATCTTTTGTTTGCAATTTATCACCACGCACACCGATGCAACCGACGCACAACGCTTCCAGAAACAAACTAAAATCAATGTCAAATTTGTGCCAAAAAAAAAACGATAAACACGTGTCTGCAAAAAAAACTAGCGCTTGCAAAAACAACAAATTAATGAGCAAACGATAAAAAACGATCATTTGCCGTTACATTTCTTAACCAAAACATTCTTGATTGACAATGACATGGTCCATAGCTGCATTACATAGGACAATGTTGTAACCAGTCCGCAGCTGCTGAAATGGATCACGTAGTCCACAATTATTTGCAGGGCAATGGTTGTTTTGACTGTCTGCTGCTGCTGGATACTTAAATGCTTTTCGAAAGGGGGATGAAACGGGGGTTTGCATGCAGGTGTAGGGTATTTTTTTCGATTATTCCCTTTTTTCCTCGCACACACACCCGTACGCACACTCACTCGCTCAACCAAAATATAATTGTTATCACAAATGTTGTTCCTTTATTTTCTATTGTGTTCTTCCTCTTCATCCACCAATCGAACAAGAACAACAACATCATCACAAACAGACAGGAAGTGGAGTTTTTAAGGTCGCAGAGTGATCTATATTTGGAAAATAATAAAAATAAGCCATCATCTCAGTATCCATCTTCTTTTTTGGTAGGTGATAGTGATAGAGATCAATCTATATTTAGTTAGAGGGGAGGAAGCAAGCATCTGCAGGAACAGAAAAAAAGTTTTCTTCTAATTTCAAGATCTTATTGGTAAAGAGCAGTATTTCCTATAAGGATACGTCTTCAGGTATTTAGAATTTTAAATTAAATTTCAATATCTATTTCAAATATTCCGTTATATATTTTTTGTATATAGATAGCCTCTAAATACAAAAAGCCATTAACCTTGCATTACTGATATGTCGTCAACCTTCTAGAAAGTTTAAAAAAGTAATATTTAATTTCCGGTTATTTTTAGTATAAAATTTAAATATTTTTGAATATGTAATTTTTGAATTTTAAATATTATTACAAAGCCAAATGATAGTCCATAAAATAAATCTTAAATTTTCGTAATTGACCTACCTTACATTCTGTGCACCGATCGGTATCGGTATCGCTTTCTCAGAAATACAACTCATGGAGCTTTAAACGTAATCCTGAATCTCCAACCACTGAACCTTTTGGCTAAGTTCCAAGCAACAACATGTGAACAAAAGAAACCATGGCTTGGCGAATTAATAGGTCCCATTTTTCGGATTTTGGACAAATTTCCAAACAAATTGCCTGAAAACCCCCATTAATTTTGGGTATTTCAAATACATATCTCATGGAGGAAGGTATAAAAAGTTCGACCCGTACTAACTTATTATTCTTTGTTGAGATGTGGTCATCATTAAGATTTTTTTCCACTTCCAAGATGTGTAGTTATTTTGAATTATATATGGGAGCTATATCTAAATCTGAACCGCTATCAGGATATCCCATATACATACTTTATTTTTAAATGTAGTTATTATTTTTAAATATCATGATTAAACCAAAATTTTTCAATTATCTTCTTACAGCCTACAAAATATCAAATTAATTTCAAGTGTGACTGGATGAAGAATTCCAAGATATAAATAACGTGCGGCATAAATTACACAGACGAAACTTAACATTTCTCAAGTTTCTATATATTAGTATTTGTTTTTTTTTTTACTAACTTTAGTTCTAAACAAAAGTAGTGGGATTAGTTTTGAGATTTTTTATTGAAACAAAGGTAAGTAAACTGTAAAATGAATTTAAAAAATTAGAACATTTTCTCATTCAAAAATATTGTAGGAACTTTTCCCAGCTTGACCATGTGGAATTCAGATAGACAGCAGCAACAACAAAATGGTGTAATTACCTCAACAAATGCAGGAACACAAAATACCAATAATGGCAATGGTTCAAGATCCAGCTCACAAAATCCACCCAAACAATTAGGTATGACATCCGCCATTAGTTTGGCAGGTCCACGTCCCGAAGATGTACAAAAAACAGAAGAACTACGCAAAGCTTTGGAGCCATACAAAGTCTTTGAAACCGAAGAAGAATTAAATCATCGCATGGAAATTCTTGCCAAGCTAAATACACTGGTCAAACAATGGGTTAAAGATGTTTCCATTGCCAAAAATATGCCCGAAGCAGCTGCCTCGAAGTTGGGCGGTAAAATTTACACCTTCGGTTCATATCGTCTGGGTGTACATCATAAGGGTGCAGATATTGACGCATTGTGTGTGGCACCACGCAATATAGAACGTTCCGATTATTTTACATCATTCTTTGAGTTGATGAAAAAACAACCGGAGGTTACCGAATGCCGAGCCGTGGAGGAGGCATTTGTGCCGGTAATCAAAATGAATTTCGATGGCATCGAAATAGATTTGCTATTTGCTCGTCTATCTCTCAAAGAGATACCCGATGATTTTGATTTACGTGATGATAATTTGTTAAAGAACTTGGATCCACGTTCGGTGCGTAGTTTAAACGGTTGTCGTGTAACAGATGAAATATTGTCGCTCGTACCCAATATTGAGAATTTTCGTTTAGCTTTACGTTCCATTAAATTGTGGGCCAAAAGTGAGTTGTTATCATATTGAAATTTAAACAATTTTTAAATTCTCACTTTTTTTTTAATACAGAACATGGCATCTATTCCAATTCCCTGGGTTATTTTGGTGGTGTGACATGGGCCATGTTGGTGGCCCGAACTTGCCAATTATATCCAAATGCCACAGCTGCCACATTGGTTCATAAATTCTTTTTGGTCTTTTCACGTTGGAAATGGCCACATCCCGTATTGCTAAAACATCCAGACAATGTTAATTTAAGATTTCCCGTAAGTATATGCCATGTATTTCAACTCATCATTTTTAATGCAAATTTCCTTTCGTTTAGGTTTGGGATCCTAGAGTTAATGCCTCGGATCGTTATCATTTAATGCCCATCATAACACCAGCATATCCCCAACAAAATTCCACATTTAATGTATCTGAATCAACAAAGAAAGTTATTTTAATGGAATTCAATAGAGGCATGACCACAACTGATGAAATCATGTTGGGCCGTGCTAGCTGGGACAGATTATTTGAAGCTCCCAGTTTCTTTTATAGGTAGGTTTTTGCAGCCCCCAAAAAAATATCCTCATATTTATCTTTGTATTTCCCTTTCCAGATATCGCCACTTTATTGTGCTCCTGGTAAATTCACAAACCGCTGATGATCATTTGGAATGGTGTGGTTTGGTCGAATCTAAAATTCGTTTACTTATAGGCAACTTAGAACGTAATCAACACATTTCATTGGCCCATGTCAATCCCAAGTGTTTTGAGCACAAAAAGGGCAACAGTAACAACAACAATAATAATAATAACAACAACAGTTCATGTTCACAGAACAGTAGTGGCAATGAAGAGGATAAAACTGGTGGGTCGTCACAACAGACAACAACATCAACGGTAACCAGCTCGCCATTCTGTTCAATGTGGTTTATAGGTTTAGAATTTGAACGCACGGAAAATCTCAATGTAGATTTAACGGAAAGTATACAAAACTTTACGGAACATGTTATACAGCATGGTGTAAGTAGAAATGTGCAAAGGGAGATAACAAAGAAAAAAGAGAAAAAACATTAAGATCACAATAACTTATTGAATTTTTTATTTTTCTTTTTTTTTTGTTGATTCTTAGGTAAATATTAAAATGCTTAAGGAAGGTATGTCTATTGAAGCACGCCATGTTAAACGTAAACAATTGTCACAGTATTTGGACGCTGATTTCCTGAAGAAGGAACGTAAATCTATGGAAAGCCATAATAATTTCAATAATCAGATTATGGCTAATCGCAAAAGGCTATCCACAGAAATGCAAAAAGATGGTGGCAGTAATGGTAGTAGTAATAATGTTAAACGTTCACGTGTCAGTGAATCGGTAAGCACAATTGAAACTTTTTTATCGACTAAGATTTGAACATAATTCGAAATTATTATTGTTTTTTAGAATGAGGAAAATTCAAATGCATCAAGTGATGCTGGTGGCGCCACAACTCCCACAACACCCACCTCTACCCAACAGACGCCGCCGACATTTAGTAATGCCAGCAGCAAACAGGCAACACCTGTGGACGATCATTCAGATAATAGCAACAGTGGTGGTGGTAACAGCAGCAGTGCAAATGGCAATGGCACACCCAACAGCAATTCGGCAACAGCTTCAACGCAACCCGCAACCGAAGTTGCATGCTCGTGACCGCCGCCGCCGCATACGACGTCAGCGACACCGCATCCGCATCTCTATCCTCCCACGCATACACTGCTGACCCATGGCTCACCACATCCTCTGCTTCATCATAATACACAGAAATTTCGCAAAAACAACAATGCCGCTGCAGCTGCCAATTCCAATAGCATTTTTTGCCAACGTCTAACATCCAGCTCTACATCAGTGTCATCGTCGTCGTCTTCATCATCGTCTTCAACAGTGAATCCCACGACTTTGTACAATCGTCATCCAAGACGTCTCTCCAATTCGTACAGCAACAACAACCACAGCCACAATCACAACCATAGCCACAGCCATAAGCAGCAACATCTACAACAGCATCATCATCTACATCAACAACATTTATCAACCATCAACAACAAAAATACGAATACGAACAACAACAACAATAGCAGCCACAATCTAAATCACAATTTATCTGACCACGAAACTCCGGGAAGTGCTATGGCTACACCAACCACTACCATAACTTGTAAGTTTTTATTTCAAATTAATAACAAATTTCCATCACTCTTCTTCTTGTTCTCTTCGACTGTGAGTGTCTGAGTCTTTGATATTTTTGTAAAAGAAATTTTTGAAGAGAGACAAAATACTTTTTCTGTATTAGACAAAGTATGCCCCCACAAGAAACTCATCAACTTCATCATTCAAAATTCATTAATTTGCATTAAAAATAAATCTCCATCGCCCCCTCCTTCTCCCTCCCAATTGCAGCTTGATAAATGTACCTCTATGGTGTGTACTTTTGTATACATTGTACCTTTTTTAATTCTACTTTACAATTTTTTAGGAAACATTTTTAACATACTTTTTTATAATGCTACCTATATAGATATATATACAAATTTTTTCTTTATTTTTTAGAAAATATAATAAAATTTAAAAAAAAAAACAAAACGAATTAAAAAAAGAAAGAAAAGAAAAAATGCAATATTTTATTTAAAAAAATAATTTATATTTTTTTATAAAACAAAAAATGAAACTAAAAAAAAAATCAAATAAAACCAAAAAAATTAAAAAAAGAAATGAAAAAAAATTAAAAAAAAAATATATACAAAAACAAAATGATTCCAAAAAACAATTTTATTTTAATTTAAGACTTTATTGTTTCTTTTTCCAAATTTATACTCTTTTTTTTTTGTTTCTCATATGGTTTTGGGTTTCTTCATATTCTTTCTATTTAGAGAAATCGACATTATAATATTTTAGAGTTGAAATCTAATGTTTTAAGAAATGTTGCTATTGTCGTCGAAGTATCGAATTTTCGAAATGTGTAGGGTAGTATATTTAGCTTTGAAAAGACACATTTAAATTATATTGTGCAGGACGATTATGTGAAATCGGTTTTTCATAGCAGAGTTTTATCGAAAGAGTCATATTTATTTATTTAAAAAAATTCAATTTGAAGATTTAAAGACCGATTTTAATTAAATTGCAAACGCTTATTTTTAGTTGGCTCTGTCCGCTTGGCCCTTCAACATTTCTCTGGGTTTCTAGGATGCTTCCATTCGCCCAATTTTCTAAACATCAAATTTTGGTCCATAATTTTTTTTTTTTAAATCCCATTTCCAGTTGTCTTTAAAGAATACCAGAATCCATATATCTTGGAGTATAATTTTTCCTTTTGATAAGCGGGACCTAAAAAAGTGAAGCCTCAGTTGTGGGGAATCTCTTAAAATAATCTGTGATGAAAAAACAAAAGCAACCATTTTTTTGAATACCACTTTTGCAATGGGCAAAAATCACATTAACGTCTGTAGATCGGATTGACGGTTGACGGTTGGTACCACATATACTCGCGTTGAGCTGGGGTATAGCCGACAAATTCCAATCAGAACAAGACATTGTTTGGTCTCTTCATTAATACTGCGGATCTTGGCCTAAGCCATGAAAACATTGCTCTTCGGAACACATTGAACGATTGAATAACCTCAGATCCTGCACATATTATGCAATTGAAAATAAATCCACAATAACGTCTGCGGAAAACAGATTGGAATTTTGGTTGAGAACCACAAAGTCACATTGAGCAACAAACTCCAATCAGAACAGTTTTTAATCTCTTCAAAGAGTCTGTGGATCTTGACCTAAATCAGGAGAGTATTCTTCTTCGGACCACAAAGAACGAGCATCTATTTCACGCTGAGATGGACTCACATCAGATCGTCCAATGTCTATGAACCGCCCCTCTTAATTATAGCTTAGATATTCAATGGAACTGATTGGTCCAACTTCTAATGGACTAAAAAAACTCTATGCTGGGCCTTTATTTAAAAATTATACTTAAAGATACTCTATGGAAATCCAATCGCATTTACCACCAGCGTATGATTTATATGAAGCGAAAAAATGAAGCACCTTAGGGTGTAAAAATTGTCATAGTCTATGAGCCTACCCCTATCCTAAGGAAGAATGCATTGGTCCTGAAGAAAAACGACATAAATTGGTTCTTTTTTTCTCTATTCACCCTGAAGAATAATCCACTTCTAAAGACAGCCTTCAGATGACTACATATTCTGCAAACCTACAAGTAAAGGTTCTACAGGGCGTCTTATGTCCTCTATGGACCTCTGAGTCGTCCGCAACCACTATTATAACTTTAGTTTATACCAATAGATTTCAGCAATTTATTATAATTCAAAATACTGCCTCCTTAGATAAATTGATTCGCATCCATTCCCATCATTCGCAATGTTTCCAACCAGATGGTTTAGAAATTTCCCTCAAGAGGTCTATGATTCTAGGCAACATCCCTTTAGAATAACTGAAGAGACTCCAAAAAAAAAAGTATTAAATCTTGGCTCATGTTCTCATCATCCGTTGTATATAAAAATTCCCTTTAAGACTGCATTCAGATGACAACATTTTCTGAATATGTAAAAGTAAGGTTCCTACATGTTACCTAATGTGCTCTATAGGCCTCTGCGTCGTGTCAGTGAAATTCAAAATACCTTCTCCTGGATCCATTCTAACAAACTCATCAGAAAGAAGATCCTTAAAGCTCCATTAAAAGCCAAATCTTGGCTTGATATCCACTTTATCATCCGGTGTTGATAGAAAATGCCCATGAGAGGTGTATGAGAAATTTATTTTAATAACTGGAGGAATAATTTTGTTTTTTTTTGTCTGTTAATACATTTTTTTTTTTTGTTTTGAAAATTTTGATAAAAAATTAGCTTTTCATTCTTTTTAAATCACCATTCTAACTCTCAGGAAATAACCTTCCTTTAGAAGTCAAAAAATAGTAGTTCTATATCGCCAATAACAATTTCTATTGCCTATAAAAATTTTCATTCGGACCTCTATACAAAGTGGTTTCGACTTGTCAGCTTTGCTGCGATGGTTGCAAAATTCGTTTGAGTTTGGCATTTTCGCTGTATTTTTGAATGACGTTTCAAAATTCAATATTCTTTACAATTATAATTTCTAACGGCTCATATTATCATTAGGTAATGCTAATTGTTTTAGAAAATTTAAATATATAGCTACAATAATAAGTGGTCTTTAGAATATTAGTAAGTAATCTCTTTCAACAATAAATAATTAATCAATTGTTTTTTTCTTTTTTCGTTTTTTGTCTCTTTTTTCTCCCTCTCTACTACATTTTCTCCCCTTCATATTTCTTTCTTATATCCCCTTGTGCCAAAAAAGTGTTATAAGGCCTGTATAACCTGTAAACAAGAACCCTACCCCACAACTCCAGACCCCCAATACTTCATCTTCTCCTCGTCTATAGATTTAGGATTTTTTAGTTATAAGGACTATTGGTTTAAAGCCACGCAAATAAGAAACAACAAACAACAAAAAAACATTTGAGAAAAACAAAAGAAAAAGGTATGACATGACTTTAATTAAATAATAAAAAATAATAACTAATTTAAATATCAATTTTTTAATTATAGAATATCAATAATCAATTATAAAATGAGCACTGTTTACATTGAAGAAAATATCTCCAGCTCTAAGGAGGGGAAAGTGTTGAAAGAGATGGCCATGGCTTTATAGACCAAACACAACACAGACGAGTTGTGCAGGATCCAGGATAAACAGCATTGACCAACCAACCAACCACCACCAATCGTCTAAACACCACATTGTCCACTAAATAACAATGGTAACCAAATAATTGTTATTAACATTTGTATATTTTACAGCTTTCAAAAAGCTTATAAATTTGTTGTCCTCCTCCTACTACACCAACGCAAAAATTACCAACATGGAATAATTGGTCGGTCATCGTCATCATCTTTAACTCAGATACAGTTTCTAAATGCTGCTGACTCCTTTGGACTACTGAACTGGATCTCTGGCACAATTTCTCTAGCCGCCTCCGTCGCCCTCCACTCCCAATGCAAACAACTTAAGTAAACAACAGAAAAAAACTCTTATTTTTAATTAATTTTTCCACCATTAGAGCATAACAAAATGCAAAAAAAGCTAAACATTTTTTTGATGGTTTATTATATTTACAACAAAACTGAAAGAAAACACGAAAAGAAAGAGAAAAGCAAGAAAACTGAAAAAAGGTAAATCACAATTTTAAAATAACAACCATTCTTTTTTTCAAATACAAAACTAATTTAACCTAAAAAAAATAATAAAAAATACAAATAAAAAAAATAAAGTGAACAAATAATAATACCAACAAAAAAACAAAACAAATAAATATGTTTCTTTTATTTTATATATTCTAAAATGTTTAAGAATTTTATAACAGACAATGAATTCAATTTAGGTTTTTGTTTTTGGATATAACTTTTAGATGAGATATTCTGTAGGTCATGCGTTTAAAAGCGACTTAAGGGCCTCTATAGATGGACGAGGCTGCATAAATAGATCTTTTAAACACAACAAGTATTTTCAAAATAAATAATTTATAGACCTTGTCAAGACCTTCTATTGTTGAAGATATATTTTTTATATGTATTCAAAAGAATATTTTCTACAGTCATGTAATCTTCAACCCTTTGTTCCTGAAAATACTTCATAATCTTGTGAGAAAAAATTAATTCCTAAGTTTCCGATTTAGCTTATGATCCATATGATCCACTATTCGTTGAATTTTCTAATGGTTTTTTTCAATTTTTGTTTACAAAAATAAATACATATTCAATGAATAATACTCATATACAATAAATAAATAAATAAAATAAATTTCGAAGTGGTGAAGATCGATATCGGTCTCTAAAAAATTTAAATGTGTTTTTTTTATTGAGGAAGGTCCACTATACGGTAAGAAAAAAAATCGTCACTTAAGCCCGAACATGTATTATTTAAAAAAATGTTTTCCACACATGGATACAACTGTGAATTTATTAAAAATACTTTTTCATAATTAGATACAAAAGTGATTTAAAAACAGTGGGCAGCCTGTGCAAAAATTTGGCGATATACTCCTCTTTTTGACCGAGTAGAGGTCAATAGATCATCGTTCTTATACTGGTAACTTTTCGGAATCAGGTTAACGGGTTCATTTGACCCTCTTAATATTGAATTTTCATCATGAGAACAGCCATTGTCCTTCTTTGATTAGATACCCTTCCCCGTGTAAAAGTTCGTGATGTTTGAGTCATAGTTTTGGTCCTGGACCGACCAAAAAAAAAAAAAACAGACGAAAATAATGTCTACGGTCCATTTCATCCCCTAAATAGCCAGATGTTATAAACGAAAATTATATGCAATACGGCTGTAGAACAATTCCTTAAAAAATCCGCGCCTTAGAGAATCAGCGCGGTTTTAAACTCCGCGCCTTGGGGAATCAGCGCAGACTTTAAAATCCATACCTTAGGGTCTCAGCACGGCCTTAAAAATCCACGCCCCAGAACGGCTGTAGAAAAATTCCTTTATGATTCACGCCCCTAATCTGCTGTAAAAAATTCCTTTAAAAAACCATTGGCCCAGATAGGCGGAAAAAATCCTTTGAAATCTTTTAAAAATCCACAGCGGCTTTAAAAAAATTCCTCTAAAAATCCATGCCCTAGAGTCTCCGCACGGCATTAGAAAAATTCCTTAAAAATCCGCGCTTTGGGTCCTCACCACGGCCTAGTCACCATCACCAAAAGACTTCCTGATTCTTCAGTTCCTGTATATATGTATTTCTCATTGAAAATTATTCATATCCAATGACGATTTCATGTATCCCAGGTTCTCGAAAAGCCATTTATACAGATTCCTTGAGCCCAGAGACTTCCTAGATATTTTGTCCACCAGTTCGTCTATATAAAAACTCCCTGGCGCCCAATTAATTTTGCACACTTCCTCTCTGGTGCCCAACTCGTTCGTATAATTATTCATTGTCCTCAATATCGTTCGTATGTACCCAATGGCGCCCAACTATATTATAAGATTTTGTGGCGGTCAGCTCACAGATATCATCCTTGACCATAACCGGAACTTCGTGTTAGGCGTTCAGAGCGACATTTCCGCCATCTAGTGTAGTGTGGCATTAGTAACACCAAACAATATCAGGCTAAGTACTTCCCTGTAAATATTTACTTATAATTCCCACATCCGAATACATTCAAAAATATAATTGGTATCAATTTAACGGACAAGCACCTCCTCATGGGTATACTGTTCAACATCTTCGGTCTATGTTCTTCGTAAATACATACGCCATAGAATGCAAATTTTTACAACATCAAAGTCTGGGTCAATTTGGCCCGCTAAATAACCGATAACCATGAGAAGGGAAATGCGTGTTCCTTGGTCAAATCACATTTTCCGTGTAAAATATCGTGATGTTCGGGTCATAATTCTGGTATCTAAAGCAACCGGAAAAACAGATAAAAATATACTTTTTGGTCCATTTTATCTCCTAAAATGAACCGATCATTACTAAAACCAATTCTGGACTTCTTTGATCCGATTCAGCTAGTCGAGTTATGAGGATTGGTATATTAAAATGTGGGTGTAGAACCGACCAATAGTTCGCGGCATTAAAAACTCTTAAGGCCACACTAAACTATAATACCCTGACAGCATAGTTGTGTAGGGTATGAAAATTGTCCCACAGTTTTTAATTAACCCTATGTTCGGGGTCTCTAAAAAATCGTTTTAAAAAATTATTTAAAGTAGTCCTTAGGTTTGGGTTAAAAAAAATCAAAATCTCTTCAGGCGTGGATTTAAAAAAATATATATATTTTTCCGAACTTCACTTTAGGCTTGGATTAAACAATATTTTTTTTCCGAAGTTCCGTTTAGGCTTGGATTTTTAAATAATTTTTAATTTTTTAATTTAAAAAACCTCTTTGATGGAATCAAAATTATTTTTGGTCAGGCCAGATAGACTAAATATACCCTGGCTACCATTCTGGAAGATGCCTCAATATTAAAACTTTGCGATTCTAACTGATATTCTACACTGAGAAAAATTATATTAAAATTTTATTTCAAATTTTGTCGTTTATTTTCAATTTAGGTAATCAACACTGTCTGATTTTCGCTCATTTACCTGTGATGATTATGGTAACAACGGTTGCTTTTGTTGTTTTATGCAAGATGTTTTTATTTTGCGACCCTTTAACCTCGCTACAACCGTTATAAATGCATACATACGCTGCTGCTGCGACTGCGGCTGCCTAGTTGTTGTAGCTTTACTTAATCCAAGTCATAAAACCCGTCATAAAAAGACTATTTTGTCTGTGTCTACAGAGTTTGGTTCCTTGGAAAACAAAACTAGGAATTGGGTTATTCCAAGGCTTTACTAAATCCTCCTGGCCTAACAACGGCGTAGAAAATCTAACCGTCACAGGCTTAAACCAAGGTACTAACTAAGACCGGAGCAATTTAGTTTAACTATGTTTGTTTTTCGATAAAACGAAAGGAAAAGAAAATCGAACCTTTAGCGTTGGGCATTGTTGGCTGCTGCTCAACGCGATTTCAACACCCACAGTTTTGGGATCTTTTGTTACAATTGTGTTTGGATAAAAGCAGCCTGCTGCTAACTATTGTCTCGATGTCTCAATGTTTTGTTTTTCTGCACTTCTCTTTATTGAGCCGAGAGCCAATTCCTAGAACTCAGCTCATTAACAGTATGAGCCACCAGCCAAGCTTTGACAGAGTCTGGAGATGTTTTTTCTGTCTTTCTTTTTATTTTCTTTTGGGTATTTGTTGTGGCTCATCGTCTCAAGCCTCAATGTGGGAAATTTCAGTGTTTGTTCATCTCAATGAGCCAATGCTAGGGTGATGATATTTTTTTGTTGGTGTTTTTGGTTGCAAGAGAATCTGTGATGCACGGGGTACGGATATACTAAGTTAGTAACGCTTAGTTGGACATTTGTCTCTGACTGTTATGCTAAACAATGGCTATCGTAATTTTCTTAAGCAAACAGGGATGAATTGTAGTTATTGTGCATGACAAAAACAAATCTATTAGTTCTAAGATTTTTTGCTAGCACATATTCTAGAATGCAAAAACGAAAAGAAATTTTGAATTAAATTTTAAATTTAAATTGTATCGTATATCTTTTATATTGCGGAAATTAATTTCACAGTCGAAATATTAGCACATGCCATGATGATAGGCGTAACTTGCTCTGCAATAAATGTATTTGAAGAAAAATTTGAACCGTATATTCAAAATATTGAAAATTAAAACATATGCTCTTCCAAAACTGCTGGTTGAAGGAGGTAAAATAATAAACAGATGCTCGATTTTTCCTCTGTAAAAATCCAAAAAGGAAACCAAAAATTAAAATAAAAAATTAATATTTTTTTTAAATCAACGATTTCATATTATCAGATTTTTCTATAGATACAATATGTTCTCATACACCATTCTTCAAAAGTGGTATACAATAATAGTTAGCTGTGTAAAATGTTTGAAGAAATTGCATATTCTTTGACAAATTTAATCCTTACTTTAAACTGAGAAGAAAATGTTATACCCTAGCCTAGGGCCTTCAAATTACGTAGAATGTGACAGAAGCTATTGAC